CCTCCCTATAGAAAGGAAATGGACTCTGATATATAGTAATGCAAATGGAATGCAGTCTCAGTTGAACATGTGAACTGGGATAAAGTAAGTTACATTGTCCCCAACTGACTTAGAACTCAGAAATATCAAATTGTGGGCAGAGGTAATGATCCTTGTTCATAATAATACCTATATGGACAATTTTACTGGGGAGGCATAGCAAATACCTCTGTAAATCTTATTGGTTTGTTCTTTAATGAAACTGTGTTATGCCTTGACCATACTATGACATGATACTGGCATTGTTGGTAAGATTCAACTGTCCTATGCAAATAAGTCACATGTAATACTAATGATAAAATATACTAGGACATTGAGTTAAAATCTCCTCACAATACAATACTGATGCAAAATTGTCTGGAAAGACCTGGATCTATATAGCCATCAGCTAATATCTATGATAAATAGTTTTATGCAAGTTGATCATATAGTATAGATAGTAATAGATCAAGGAAGAAACAAGTAATAATTAGTATAAAAGTAGGTAGTTGTTTTATGGAATGGATTAGTTGTTTTTCTATCCTGTATTATATCCTCCAAATATTAAGCATATTTATAGTGATACAATTGCTGTATCCTGGGAGATAACCTCCAAACCCTTGGTTTATCCTGTAAGATAAATGTGTCTTTGTATACCTGAAAACTTGGGCCATTTCAGTTGGTTTATGTTAACAATATAATTTACAGTGAAAGCCCATTTTGTTTGTCTGGGTTCATTGGCCATGTAGCATCAGTTTAACCTCTGGGGTAATATAAAAATAGTCCTAGAAGTCAGCCACACAGACACTCCATGCTTATGTAACTGACTTCCAACAGAAACCCTGATCTTCAAGACTTGGGTAAGCTTCCCTGGTTGGCAAAATATTGCATGTGTTGCCACACATCATTGCTGGGAAAGTTAAGTGCTGTTCTTTTGCTTCTATGGGGGAATGACAACTAGAATCTAATGTCTGAATTTTTCTGAACTCAAGAGTATGAACACTTTTCCTTTTTGATTTTCATCTGTATCCTTTCACTATAATAAACTGGATGTGTTTTTGAGTTCTGAGAGCCCTTCCAGTAAATTATTGAAATCAAGCATAATTTCAGGAACCCACAACACATTACTTTATTGGACAACTCAGTTTTAGGAGGTTCCAAAAAAAGGCAATTAGATCAGTTCCAAATATCTTACACTGACCCATCAGGTGATTTTTTATTTGACTCTGGCTTAGACATTGATTTGTATCACTAGGCAATTATGTTTATCCTTCTGCACCCCAAATATACCCTGTGTTTGATAATTATGTTAGCCTTGATTCCTCAAAAACAGAATCTAAAACAAAATCTTATATATAGATAGTTTTTTTAGGAATGTAATCCTAAAAAGGTGGGATATGGAACAGGTAGCAATGAAACTGTGCAAAATGAAAAACAAATACATAAATATTGTACAAAGTAGGCAATCACTGAGAACAACTGGAACTTGATCTCTTATATCTGGGAAGACACAAGATGTGTGTCTCATAAATGTTTTCCCTTAGACCTAAAGAAGGAAAATTTTTCTATCAGCTCTAGGCCTCTGAACATTAGCCATCTTGAACTTCAGGATTGCATATGCACAATGCATTAGAGATTCCCACAGACACTTCAAGCTTGAGCATCAGAGAACCCATCATGAAGGGAGAGACAGAGTCCAAAGGAACATACAGGAATGGTCCATACAGCCATAAATGACAATAGAGCAGGACCCAGAGGATCTGGAGATATATAATGCATATCCACCACCATCAACCAACATGTCCAGGCATTGGAAATTGAAAGGATAGGAGCTTCCTGACACCAGAGAATGAAGTTAGTAGGAATAACAAAGGTATCTGGGGAAGGTCTCTCCATCACATGTCAATTGATTTACCCTCTCAGAAACTAAGGCCAGATTTATCCATTAAATTATATCCACCCAGCATTGTTGGTAAAGGAACCAATCTTTTCTGAACGGCAAAAATAACCGTAACACCCAGTCATTGAGAAACAGGAATAACAGTATTGAGATCAATTCAAAGTTCTAAGCTGATACAGCAGCAATTTTTGTTTGTATGAATGATTCACCAGTTAGGACAGTGTGGAGAGAATCTAGTCAGGCAGGAAACACGGGACAGAAGAAAGGACTTCTTTAGCCAAAGTCCAGAATCAAAGGGAACATGAAAGTGACCCAGATTCCAAGCTGAGTTTCAGGTCAGCCAGGGCACAAGAGACAAGTTTGGACTCATGGAAGACAGGAGAGCAGAAAGTACATTCCCCCGAAGATAAGAACCCCAGGTGGAGTAGAAAAGTCTAATTGAGGTTTCTGTGGTGGAGATTCCTAAGAAGTGGTTTTAGTCAGAAGAGGGTCCTGGAATCATCCCCAGAAGAGAGCAAACATGATATCAGAAACTAGAGGTTAGTTGTGACAGTGGCACCGGCGCCACCCCAAAGAGAGAGACATAGGTCATATAGCGTGAGGGGAGAAGGAGGGTGAGGTAGAAAACAGGAGAGCAGGATGATTCATTCTCACCCTCTTCTCAGCTCATAACATGAGACCAGTCACAAAGTAGTGAATCATTTCCAAAAAAGCTGCCTTATAGTTCTCTCCATTGCTTCCATTTTTCTTTCCTTCCTTCCTCTCTTCCAGAAACCTACATTTCTAGCAGGTAATACGACAATATCCCATTGACTGAACATCTACCAGACAAGGTATGGATGAAAAGTACAACAAGGGCTTTGGGAAACGGATGGAAGGAGGTCATGCCAGGGACTGCCTGGGACTCAGGTTCACGGCAGGTAACACAAGAACAGTGGGAAGGGTAGGACTAACACACACCTGAGATTTAAGGATGTTTGACTTTTCAAGGGACACACCTAGTAAGAGATTGTACTTTGAGGTCAATTCTGGGTGAGTGACCTCTGTTTCATCTTAGCCTCATCAGAGGATAAGGCTGATACTGAGCTCAGGGAATCTGAACTCTCTTGCCCCTCTGTTGCCCCCAGAGGAGAGACCCAGTTCTACACCATCATGAGAAACAAGTGCAGTCAATGCAGACTGTCCATTTCAGGGCATAGGCTATTCGTGTTCTACATGGCGTCAAAGTCTCCCCAGAGTAAGGCATTTCCAAAGCAAGCTTTAAACTTCTCCTGGCCTGGACTCACAAAGAGGTGGTATATAGGGTGATTACTGTTGTCACCCACACCATGCCCTCCACGAGAACCTGTAGAATCTATTGTTCATCTCTACAGTTCCTTAGGAAATGGAAATGGCCAGTAGAATCAATCTCAGCTACAGAGTAGAGACCTGTCCAAGCGGTAAGGCTATGTCTGCTCCAAGACCCAGAACTTCTCCCTGGTTTAACTCATCACCACCCAAGAATCCTGTTTGTTGTCCACAGAACCTCACCTCAAAGGGCGGACTGTGGGATAGGCCCAGGTGACATCATTTTCAAACAATCAATACCCAAAAATGTTAAGCCAGAGATTTTCATTATAAAAGCCGGAATGAAGATAGAGCTGCCAACAAAAAAAATCCCACTTCCTTAAGGCTGGACCGGTTTTCTGTATAAAAAGCCAGCTGACCAGAGACTCCACAGCAGACCTGAGACGCCGGCAGCTTGAACTGTTCTGCACCCCAGGTGAGTCTCCCACTTGGATTTGTATTTTCTTTTTTTTTTTTTTTAAGATTTATTTATTCATGCATACAAGAGCTGAAGTACAGGTCAGAAATCCGGGGGGAGGGGGGAGTGTGGTGAGAGGATTCACCAGAGACAGAGTGGGGGGCAGAACAGGCAGACTACTGTGGGGGCAGCAGACGAGACAGGAGCAGGAGAGGTCTGCTGCATCATGTGGGTAGCTCCCTGGCCTGCCAGGGATCGAACTCGTGCTGAAGCGGCTGCAGATAGCGCGGAGCTTGGCCCTTTGAGCCTCCAGTGAGGCCCAGATTTATATTTTCTTCAGGTTCACCCAATGGCATTTTATTTCACTGGAGTCTCTGGACAGTCTAAAGATGCACTTGTTTTTAATTAAATAACATCTTGTTCGAGGTAGTCATTTTTGACTCCCACTTTAGATCGAAACTGCAGAATCTGGGGTCTGTAAGGATTGTTACTCGAATTAAATTACAGGAGGAAATGGACTTCAGCTCACATCCAGATAGTTTTAGTGACATTTTAGTTATCTCTCCAGTTTTCTTTAGAATTTTCAATATCAAAGGCATTGCTGTAGGTAGTTTCAATGATCAACAGTGGATCAACCTTTGCTGCATGACCCTGTGACCTTATGATCCATCAGAGAACATAGTACATGGTGTCCTTTTCAAACAGAGTGCATGGAAAGTGGTGAGTGGAGAGGGCAAGGCAGGAGTTGTGTTGTGGTGAGAGGAAGGTGAGCTGGCATGTGGTGGCGTGTCTCGCAGGAGAGCCAGGATGCAGGAGCCTGAGCAGACAAGCAGCACGGAATGGAAAACCTTCCAGAAAACACACACACAGAGGACAGTGTAAACAAACAGAGGTTCAGGGGTGAAATCGTGTGGGCTGAAGGAGATTTTATAGATTTCCTAAGAGAGCTAAGACTCTCTGTGGTGAGCAGAGGAGGGGAAACTCCAGACTGTTGACTTTATCACCTTTTTGAATTTTCCAAAGCCTGGGGCCTCCCTCAGTCCCAGGAGGCTGTTGTGTGGTGGTGTTGATGTAGTTTTCAGAATCACCAGGAGACAGAAAGCATAGAGAAGGCCTCCACTCCTCTGGAGCCAAGCAAATCACCTTTAACCATCTCCTCTTGAAAAGGCACAACAATCCACTACTCTTCCTTTGCTTTCAATTCGGGGGAACAGAAAGGAAGAAAAGAGGCGGGGGCGGGTGAAATGAGACATATGTGACATCCACCTTGGCTTCTTCCTTGTTTTACCAAACTGCTGAGTCAGCTGTTCTGTCTCTAGGTCCAGACCTCACCAAAGCATGAGTTCCTACCAGCAGAAGCAGCCCTACACCCCACCCCCCCAGCTGGAGCAGCATCAGGTGAAACAGCCCTGCCAGCCTCCTCCTCAAGAACCGTGTGTTCCCACAACCAAGCAGCCATGTGTCACTGGGGGGTCACACCCTTGCAACACCAAGGCTCCAGAGCCCTGCAACCCCACGTATCCTGAGCCAAGCCATCCTACATTTCCTGTGCAGGGCCACTCCAAGGTCCCTGAGCCTGGTCACCATCAGGTGACTCAACCGATCTACCCTCCAGTGCTTCAGCCTGGCCACACCAAGATCCCTCAGCATGACCACACCAAGGTCCCTCAGCATGACCACACCAAGGTCCCTCAGCATGACCACACCAAGCTCCCTCAGCATGACCACACCAAGCTCCCTCAGCATGACCACACCAAGGTTCCAGAGCCATGTATCTCTACGGTCAATCCAGGCCCAGGCCAGCAGAAGACCAAGCAGAAGTAATGCGGTTCACAGCCATGCCCTTGAGGAGCGACCATTGGATGCTGATCAACTTCTTCCTTCCTGTTCTCTGTCGTCATCGTGTAGCTCTTATAATCACTGTGTTCTCACCTTGAGTCATGTCTTTCTCTTATTTGCATCCTAAATAATATATACTATAAAAATCTTCTTCATACACTCTTTGGCATTCCCCTCTTCCTCTAAATTAAGTCCAGGATTTTGTGGCTTAATGTTAGTCTTCAGCTATTCAGGTTCTTCTGATTGGGGACAATGGATGAGAAATAAACCCATGTTTCCTACTCTACTTCCAATAAATCATTTTTATGTGCACTCCTGGCTGTGTGTCCCTGGGTGATTCTGCCCCTCCCTGCTGCCCCATCATAAGTAACTCCTGTCAAAGTAGGTATTGGTGGAGACACCAGCTGACCCCAGGTCTGCACACTTCTCTACTTTTGTGTGTGATGGCATGTAAGGGGCATCCCTGGAATGGCAATGGCTCTTGTGTAAAGGAACCCAGAGCCTGCCTCTTTGGATAGACACACTGGAGCAGGGTTCTCCTCTGGCATTGGACTGAGGCACACCTAGTTCCATGGCACTGGCTTCAAGCCAGCCCCAATCCTGGGGACCCTGCCCCATACTCCTGTCTATTTAAAAAAAAAAAATCAGTGCTGCATAGTTTCTCCGGATTGTTTTGGTTTTTCGCAATCATTTCACCCAGAAATAATAGACTTATCCAGTGACTTCAGACAGGAGGTGAGTTTTAGGCTGGGATGAGGGATACATGACCCAGGTGAGTGAACAAACAGCAGTAAAGTTGCAAGATATGTCACTGTTAGGAGTGAAAGAAGACAAAAGAGCACCTAGCACAGCCAGGCCATTTTTCAGATAAGGAAATTCCTATCCAAATGATAATTACGGTAACACAAGATGAGGTGTCTACATCACACTGAGATCCCAGCTCTCCCGACCTCCAACCCCTCTCTTCCCAGCACGTTGGTCTCCTGATTTCAAGGTGACCAGTAGGGGCTTGGGCCTGGGTTGAGTGGGGGTCACAGCAGCAGGGAAGACAACATAAAACGCAGATGGGCTGCAGTAGTCATTGGCGACGAAACCCCGCTTCTGAATAGTGTGCATGATCCCTAATTTCAAGGGGTGTGAGGCGGATGACACTTGCATGATGAACAAGAAATTCAAATAGGTTTAATAAGATTTCCAGAGATATTTGGAAACTTGTAAGTCAGAAATTGTCCAACAAGTTATTACTAAGTAACCAGTAGTTGTCAAACTGGCAGGAGAAGATGAGGTGTCTTGGGTCTAAAAGAACATATTGAGGTGACTCCATATTATTGCTGTTGTCAATGGTGAGCATGTCTGGAGAAAATCCAGGGCCACTCATAATTAAACAGGCTGATCCTGAATGGGGAAATGAGCTCTATGAGGCACGACTCTTTGGCATGTAATGTACTTTCTATTTCCTATTGTTTGAGGTCAGTTTTTCTTAAGATAAGTTTTTATTGTAGTGCAATAACATATAATTTACATAAACATAAAATTTACCTGTGGGCACTCTCCCTTTATCCAGCTTAAGCATATAATTCAGTGACATTATTAAGTGCATTCACATGTTTTTAATTGTAGACATGCTTGTAGATTGATGTAAAAATAAAAGTCTGGACACTAAATACAGTAAAACATAAACAAGATTATTTGGGGCTGCTTTATGTTGATGGTGATATTTTCTTTTTCGTAATATAATGACACAATGGGTATTTGTGTATCTAAACATATGTAGATATAAAAAAAATCCATCATTAACTGAAATATTCTGTGGCACATAACTTTATTCTTTTTTTTTTAAGATTTATTTATTTATTTATACAAGAACCAGGGTACAGGCCAGATGTGCTGGAGGGTGAGAGGATTCACCAGAGACAGAGCGGGGAACAGAGCAGGCAGACTGATGAAACACACTGCTGAGGGGAGCAGCGGGCGAGACAGGAGAAGTCTGCCGTGCCATGTGGGACCCTCGCCGGCAGGCCGGGATAGAACCGGGACTGCAGAGGCTGCTGACAGCCTCCCAGCGCTGCGCTCAAAGGCCTGCGCCACCAGGGCAGGCCCATATAACTTTATTCTTTTGTGTTTCAAAATCTTTCTACATTTTACCGGTATAGTACACTAAACTGACTCAAAGTTTAAGATAATAACTTAAATGATATAACGTGCCATTATTTTTTTTAGTGAAAAGAAAGTGTAATAGCAATGAATTGAGGAAAAAATGTTTCATCTCTCATAACACTAATACAACAATGACTGCTTATATTTTGAGCCTCCACCAAATCACCAGAGCCCACACCCTATCTGCCTTCCTCCTTCATGCCTTCCACCCTTTTTCCTGTCCCCTCTGGCAGCCATTATCTTTATTTTTGCTGAGTTCATTTTTTTTTTTTTTAAAGATTTATTTATTTATTTATTTATTTTGTTTATTTACACAGGCACTGGGTACAGTCAGAAGCGCGGGAGGGTGAGAGAATTCACCAGAGCCAGAGCGGGGAGCAGAGCAGACAGAAGGACCGAAGTACACTGCTGAGGGGAGCAGCGGGCGGCAGGAGAGGTCTGCGCGCCATGTGGGACCCTCCTCCGGTGGCCGGGGAGCAGCCGGGGATCGAACCAGCACTGCAGAGGCTGCGGGCAGCTTCGCAACCCAGTGCTCAACCGCTGTGCCACTGGGGAGGCCCTGAGTTCATTTTTTTTTTTTCCTAATGTTGTTTGCATGTAATTGCTTTTGGGGTATTTATATTCCACAGAGGAGTGAAACCATCCACAATCTGCCTTTCACTTTTTGATTTGTTTGGGGATTTTTTGGGTTTTTTATTATCATTATTTTAATTTTATATATTTTTTACATCATTTTTCATTTCTGCACAATGTTTGCATTTTCATCTTGGTTATAGTCCCCATACAATTCCCACCCCACCTTGTTTTGATCCTACTCTCTCCTCCCCTCCCCCACCACTGTAGTGTGTCTCTGGTTTATAGTTGCTTGTTGATTTTTATTACTCAGCAATCAAAAAAGATAAACTCATGCAATTTGCAGCACATGGATGGAGCTGGAAGGAATTTCGCTCACACTCAGCAAAATAAGCCAGAAAGAAAAAGAAAAATAGGGCCTCCCTGGTGGTGCAGAGGTTGAGCACTGGATTGTGAAGCTGCCCGCAGCCTCTGCAGCACCAGTTCGATCCCCAGCCACCGGGTGGGGGTCCCACATGGCGCGCAGACTTGTCCTGCCATACCCGCTGCTCCCCTCAGCAGTGTCTTCGTCAGTCTGCCTGTTCTGCTCCCCGCAGAACAAATGAATTCTGGCTCTGGTGAATTCTCTCACCCTCCCACACTTCTGACTGTACCCAGTGCTTGTATAAATAAATAAATAAATAAATAAATAAATGAATAAATAAATAAATAAATAAATAAATCTAAAAAAAAAAAAGAAAAATAACAGACAGTCTCACATATAGCAGGAATTTAGAAAATCTAAATAAGGGACCAGGAAAAAGACTAATTATAATAAAGTAAAAATCAAAATCAACATGCCTTTCACTTTTTGACTGATTTTACTCAACATTTTGTGCCAGTGGTGTTCATATTTTCATAGCTGTGTTTTGCACGGTCAGTGGAATGATGTTATTTCATTTTGATAACTTTTTACCCTGACATTAAAAGCATAGAAGTCAGTGAAGATATAGCTGAGCTAGAGAAATAACTGCCCTACCCACACAGAACATTCTTGAGTCTCTGAAGCAGCTTCCATATGACAATCCAAGGAGGACCCCACTTCCTTGTTGGGGTGCCTGTGTATCTCTCCTCACTAAACATCACCATCCCACTTCTGAACCCTCCGTTGGAACCCCACTCATGCCTCAGGGCCTCAAATCCTGCCCACTGACTTTCACCCCTATTCTAGTTAGGGGCTAAGTGAGGACCTGTCCTGCTACCATCCAAGCACCATCTCTCCCTCGGCTCCTCTGCCCCTCTGCTCCTCTGGACCAGTCGTTTAGAGAGCAGGTCTATTCAGCAAGAAGAACTTGAGGTCCAAACCACACACAGTGTGGAAGACTTCAGTCCCAGCCTGGTAGTTGATCTCAACTGTGCTGATAAAAAAAAAAAAATGCACATTTGTTTTCTCTCCATAGTTATTCTTGTATCTACACCTTCAGTTTTATTCTTCCTACCGAAATTATGACCTTCATAATTCCTGGGGGGAAAAAATTCTCTCTGGCTCAACTAGAAAATGATGATGGAGGGAGTGGCCTGTACTTCTATATTTTTGACTTAGGGATGTTTCATGGTGGGTGTAGGTCAACCACTTTCTTTGCCTATTCTTTATTGGCCTCCAACTCCTTTTTCTCAATTCTCTTCCCTCTCTTCTGTTGGTTAGCTCATGCTTTATCTTCAACACCGCCTCCTCACCTCTTACCCCACACATTTCCATGAAACAAAGAGGTCTCTCTGGGATTTGGGGTCTTACTAGGTCCCTCTGCCCCTGACACATTTTCAGACACAACTGTCAGATGCCCAGGAATATAGGGACCCTCCATTCGGCTGCCAATAGCACTTAAAAAACATCCACAGTGTGGGGGCAGAGCAGGGGCATGTCAGGTTACAGCCTCAACTTCAGGGGAGGTGACACAAATGTAGTGCCAGCAGGTACTCCATAAATATTTAGGTTCAGCAAACTAAGGAGAGAAGTGTTTGGTGTGGAGCGGCCACCAGTGAATGGACAATCATAGAGTGAATAGCTGAACAGATGGCATAACTTGTTATGGGACACCCGAAGCTACTTTGAGAACTGCTGGGAAAGCTCTTATAAGGGCAATGCTCCCTTGTGACAGGCTCAGTATACGAGCTGAGGGAGGACTCAGCAAGAGGGCTCAGCAGCTGTTTCTGCTACTCTCCTGGCCCATTTGTTTCCTCTGCTAGAGGTTAAATAGTGACTTCTCTTTGGGCTG